CAAAAACAGATGAGTGAAACAAATACCCTTCACCAACTGCTTTTGTAATGCCAAGTATGCATTCTGCTTATTTAAATGAATGAGAAAATTGTCTACAGGTAAATTAAAGTACCACATAAAATATTAATCACCTGGCTGGATGATCACGAGGAGCATGCATGAAACGAAAACACTGAAATAACTCTGGCAGAACATTTTGCCCTTTGTCTCTCATAGATGTTGAATGCACTGAAACCGTGACGCTCAGCTTTATACAGAGAGCTGAAAGGATGTGGTCTGACAACTGAAATTAACAAGTCAGCAAAGTGGGCTCCTAAACGATTCTAAGGTTGTGATCAAATATATCATTACCAACCTTACCCCATTCACCATCACCACCAATAACAACAACAACAACAAGAACAGACACATATACTTACCCACTTTTTGACCGTGAGAAATTTGACTTGGTGTATTTCCCATGGATGAATACTTTATTGTCCTTGGCTTGACTGTTAAACTAAACTTAGATTGTTGTAATTTTCATTCTGTGCTTTAAAAACTTCCATATTTCATGACATAGTATCTGTGGTGAGGCATGGTCAGTGGTGCCGTGCGGCCGCACCTGCACGGCATCCGCAATCACGCCTGCCGTGTTAAAAACACGGGGAAGCAGGGATTGTTGTGAGTTGTGGTGTGATGAATGTGCGGCTGACAGCTGAGAGGTGCAGCCGAGTGTGCAATAACGATGGCTTTGCCTAACACTTTCTGGACCTGCCGTGTCTCTATCACACACCACTCATTCAAACTTATGGGACATTTGAGAGAAATGTTTAGGCTGGTCAGCAGGATACAGCTGAGACTTAATTTTTTTAAATTTACTATTCAAAAACCATGTTTGGACAATGTGTAAAGCAAACTAAAAAATAATTTGTTTATGTTTGTACTGTTTACTAATAATTGATCGACACTGTATTGCCAACAGCATTTGTTTGTCTACCTTCACACACATATGAACTTGAGTGACAGTAAAACAGTAAAAATATGATGTCCGCCCACCCTTTACAGGTATAACAGCTTCAGTTCTCCGGGGAAGGCTTTCCATAAGGTTTAGTAGTGTGTTTACAGGAATTTTTGGCCATTCTTTCAGAAGTGCATTGGTGAAGTCAGACACTGATGTTGGACTAGAGTCTCTGCTCTCATTCCTCCTAATGATGTTCTATCGTATTTAGGTCAGGACCTTGTGGAAGTTCTTCCACACCAAACTTGCTCATCCGTGTCTTTATGGACCTTGCGTTGAGCACTGGTGTGCAGTCATGTTGGAACAGGAAGGGGACATTCTCAAAGTTGTGTATTTAATACATAACTAACATATTTTTAAAAAGGCACTTATTTTCTAGTTAGTCATGACTGGTATTTATGGCCGTTGGCCATGGCCCTACATTGTTCCATCTGTGGCATGTGATCGCATGCAGGAGGCACTGATGGAGGCCACAACTAAATTTAACTCCACTTTGACTGAAGTGGTGAGGGTTTTTTAAGAATTAGAATCAGAATACCTTCATAATCCTTAAGGAAATTACGTGGGTTACAGTTGCTCCAAGAGAATAACAGTAACTAACAGTGACTAGTGACTAAGTAGACTAATTAAAGTAACTAATTAAATAATAGAATATATTATAAAGTTACCAAATATAAGAAATAGCTCTAATATATACAAATAGCTCAATTATAAATATCCAGAATATTACAAAGGTGAGACATATATGATTGACATTTTACTCTAACCTTGTTATTGTACTGTAGAGCATGTGCAAAAGGATGTAACTACTGCACTGTGTACTGTGCATTAGATGGAGGAGTTGTACAGGGAGATGGCCACAGGCAGGAATGATTTCCTGTGTCATTCAGTGGTGCATTTTGGTAATCTCAGTCTCTCACTGAATGTGCTCCTGTGATTAGCTAGCACGTTATGGAGTGGGTGCAAGGTATTGTCCAGCGTTGTCCTTATGTTGGAAAGCGTCCGCCTCTCTGACACCACAGTAAGAAAGTCCAGCTCCATCCCCACATCATTTCTGGCTTTGCCAATCAGTTTATTGAGTCTGTTGATCACAATAAATATGTCACAGTGGGGTACGCCGGTGTGTTTTGAATATAGACCCAAATGCAGACACTGAGAGAGGAAACAAAAGCGAGCCTTCATTAGGGCCGATGACGAAAAGTGCAAACAACATGAACAGTGACGAGAACTTTCTCTGTATCTATGAAGCGCCTTGAGGCGACTTATGTTGTGATTTGGCGCTATATAAATAAAATTGAATTGAATTGAATTGAATTGAACTAAACTAACACCTAAACTGGAAAGAACTAATACTAACTATGAAAACAGTGAAAACTATGAAACCACAATGAAGACTATGAATACTAAGATGAGACGTGGATGGTAAACAGATGACTTGAAAATCAACAAAGGAAGACAGGGGACTTACATACACACAGCAGGTGATCAGAAGAAGTGGAAACACAGGGGAAACAGCTGACTAGAACGAACATAATGACGCCACAGAGGAAGTGAAACAAAAAACAATGACAAAGACACACAAGCCTCTTTCAAAATAAACCAGGAAACACCGTGAAAATAACAATAATCAAAGTATAAAACAAAAACACACAAAACACTGGATCGCAAACCCAGTTCCGTGACAAAATAGACCGAGTGGGTCAGGGGTTCCTCCAGGTGAACCACAATGCCAGGCCTCATGTAGCAAGAGATCCAAGAGGATGAAGAAACTGATACTGGCCCCCAACGCTCGACTGACCTAAATTCAAAAGAACAGCTATGGGAAATTTTGTTTAGGTACATCTGACACCACCAGGTTACGCTGCAGACTGTCCATGAAACCAGTTATGCCCTGGTCCCCTCTTGTAGGAGACCCCCCCAGGACACCCTCTGTCATCTCATTGGGAGCGTGCCCTAGCATACATAAAAGCACATGAGAGCAGGGCTCTAGACTAACTTTTTGTCACGGTTGCACTGGTGCGCCTAAAAGTTAGGCGCGCCCAAATTTTTCAAGCGCATCACTTGACACCGCAGTTGTCAAGCGGGCCCTGTGACCACTGGTGGTGGTCAGAGGGCCCGGTGGCGCCAGTGTCCGGCAGCCTCGCCTCTGTCAGTGCGCCCCAGGGCAGCTGTGGCTACAATGTAAGCTTGCCATCGCCAGTGTGTGAATGTGTGTGTGAATGGGTGAATGACTGAATGTAGTGTGAAGCGCTTTGGGGTCCTTAGGGACTAGAAAAGCGCTATACAAATGCAGGCCATTTACCATTTACATTTTACATGTGCACTTTTTGGGCCGTCCATACAGACAATATTGTCTGTAAATGATTAACTAACAATCTTGTCAACAATTTACTGAAAAAGTGCTTGTGCTTAAAGTGCTTTGGGACTCTTTGTTAATATTGCAGACAATGTTAAACTTAATCATCACATCGACCTCCTCTGATGACCCGTTTGCGATGAGAAACTGTTCTTAAAGTACACTGCGAGAGAGAGAGCTGTGCATGAAGTATGATTTTAATGTGGTGGAAGCAAAACAGCAAAAGTAAGAGAGAATTAATGACGACATTTATCAAATGTGAAGCGTAGTTTGAATCTTCTTTTGCTGCTGGTTCGGGGAATTTTGGTTAAAGAGAGACAAAACCTAGCGCAAAAAGGATGTAAACACAAAGCGCGCATCCGCGCTCTGTGTTTACGTTGTTGAAATCGTTTTGTGAGCTTTAATCTGAGATTCTGGCATTTCTGGCAAAATACATTTATATTTAAAAGTCGATTCAGGATTTAATGAACTGATTTCTCTTTATTCAAGCTACTCACCTCTATCTATCTGCCTGCACTTTCAAACGTACACACAAAGAACTACAGGAATATCTGGACTGCGGCTAATTAGAGAGGTCCCACCCCTGACTATCTCTGACTGGTTTAGACCATGATAGGGGCATAATATATGTCAGTTGTTGAACACATGGAGACTTTCAGAGATGCAGCGGCTTTTCTTTCTTTTTTCGACACTGCAAAGAACTCTAACTAATGGTATAGTAAGAAACTGAGCATCAGTGTCACATGAAGCTCATGGTCTTACAAGTAAAGATATTATTTATAATATTTTCGGACTGTTCATGTTACAGTAATGCTGAGATGTATTTAGAGGGCTAAGTAGATTGGTTACTTTCCCTTTAGGATCAATGAAGTTATTCTTATTCTTTAACTATTCTCAACTCGCAGTGCAGCTAATTGGTTGTCATCAGCAGACAGCAATGAAAGAACAGCATCATTTAAGGTAAAACGTCTAACTCACAAATTGAGACTGCCCCTTGTCATGGATGACACTTGTGGTATGTCATGACATTTTGCACTCTTCCTGTGCAGGGTCTTAGCATTATTTTTTGTGGTTTGCTCTTAGTCAGAGGCTTATTATGCTTGTTCTTCTAGAAGTGAATGTCTCTTGTGTTGACATTACTACAGAAGAAAGAAGAAAATAAATTACAAGATATCATCTTTACTGTGTAAGTGATTTAATTCCACAGCCATTCACTGGTATCTGGTTACAGTGGCTCTAGACATGCTTGCAAAAGTACGGGACAAGTTTGCCAATCATATGGACATATGTCACATGTCTGGAGAGAGACATATTAAGTTCAAGTACTGTATTTATAACTTTTATTAACTATGTATCTTAAAATGTAAGGTGGGCTCTATGTCCATTACTTTGAAGAATGTAGCATTCTAAAATCAGATACGTTTTTTATATGACATATATTATGTTTGAGAAATTGGAAATTTGAAAGAGCTATAGTAAAAACAATGAAATAAACAGTGATTCCTTTTAAAATTTTGCTTTATTAGAAAGTAGAAAAAGAAGAAAGTGTAGTCAAAAAACAATACAGAAAGTAAAGTAGAAACAATGCAGATTTAAGGCACTTTTACATTTGCTTATCTTTTCAGGTGTGAAAGCTATGTATCCATGTTTATGTATGGTGTGCAATGACAATTGCTAAAATACTGGACAGTCAATCTTTTCCTACACAATACTAAAATCACTGGTTATAGATATCTCACCCAAGTTCCTGCAAGGGAAAGGGTGATGAACCCACTTCCAGTTATATGATGTTTAAACAAACGCCTGTTCATGTAATAGATGTGCTGATGCTTTCAATAGTCTGTAAAGATTATAGCAAGCAAGGAAACTACTCTATAAAAGATGAAACAGAAGCCATTAAATGAAAAATAATAGATCAAGTGGACCCAGCAGTGGCATGTTTAACAGCATCAAAGATTCATATCTGGCTGTTAGCTCATATCTGCATTGATGTCGGTATCACATTTTAGGGGCACCCATTGTATTCTTGATCCACTTGAGTTGTTTTTCTGAGAGAAAAGAATAGACTCCAGGTTTTTTTATGTTACCACACTCTTTAGGTCCAAAAGAAGTGACTCCAACTAGCACTCCATTGCACAACAGTGGCCCTCCTGAATCCCCCTGCAGAAAGAGCAATCGCTTTTGAATTATTTACAACTTTCAAGGTGGCAGCGGGTCTTCAAGCACAAAAAATATGCATGATCCTTACCTTACAGGTATCAGTCTTTTTTTTACCCTTTGAACCAGCACATATCATGTCACTGGTGACAACAGGGTTGCGGTTGTAATAGTCACGAGAGTTGCACTTTACTCTATCGATCACAGTCACATTAACAGACATAAGGACATCTGATAGTTTGTTTTTTTCAGTTTTTCCCCATCCAGCCACCAGACAGTTGCTGTCAGCTGCAGGGTCTTTGACATGTTTATGTAGCTGGAGACAATTCACCGTTTTGGTTTCCTGCACTGGTTCATTAAGCTGAAATAAGATTAAAAAGAAACATAACATAGGATATAAATTGTGTATACGTATCTTTACAAAGATTTTTCTTAATAAAAGAACTATATGCAGTAATGCAAAAACTGAAGCCTCCTTTCTCTACAATTTGCTTCAAGGAGTCAACGTGATCTTTTAAGCTTTATCAAAAAGGAAATCTTTAAGACTAACCTTAAAAGTAAAGAGGGGGTTAATTGTGAATTTAGTGACATGAATTTAACCAGCCAGAGTCAGTGAAAAATGTTAAAGTGTTTCCATTTTTTGACCTTAAGGGGCTTGAGTATGACTGGATGCTTTCAGGTAACCACTTGAAAAGCATGCAGTCTATGCAATGGCCAGATTAAGAATTCAATACCCTGTTTACTTGAGCATGAGGGCTTTGAAGGTTGAAGATCAACAAAACTGCTATTTTTTAGTCACAGCAGAAAGGAAGGATGTTTTAATGAATATGGGCTTTTTATAAAATTTGTCTGATACTCAGAATCAGTCACAGAACAGATTAGAATAAATTACAGTGTTTGCAATGAACCTTAATTATAGCTACTAAAAGTGTTGGTATTGTTAAAACAACATAGGGACATGCGAGAGCCTTGGAAGAGTATAACAGGCACACAAAGTGTTTGATTAACAGCATTTTGAATAAACAGCAACTGAAAATAGAAGAAAAGAGACTTTGATTTTGTTTGATTTAGACCATTTCTTATCTGAAGCTCAGATATGTTATTTTAGATTCCTTTTTAATTCACATTGCTGAATCTTTGCTCTGCTCACTGTTGGACATTCAATTATCACCTTACCTTCAGCAACATGAGGTCATTGACTTTTGTTTCTTCAGAATAGCTGGGATGACGAACACATTTCTGAACCCTTTGGACCTGCCTTAAACGTGTCTCTTTCTTTTTCTTTTTCTTGATGGAATGCACTCCCAGGATCACCGTACTTATACTGGAAGAGAAAAAAACATCAACAACACTTTGTGGTGATGATAGTTTGTTTATAGAACAGGTTAATAAAAATTTATAGATCATTGTTTGGTTGTTAGTGCTTTATAAATAAAATTCCTTACAGCATCTCTGTGAAAGATCTATCTTTGTAAAATGTGTAAAATGAGATTGTTTAATACTATGCTGTTGATAAAAATAAACCTCAAAGTATGCACATTAGCTCTACAGTTTCTATATCTTTCATCTATAATACTGTAGACACACTGGTCACATAAGCCAAACAGAGTAAATATGATGTCATCAGAAAATCTGTCATAATTCTGTATCTCAGTGTGTGTCTGCATGTGTATGTGCATGTGTGTCTTTTTAAAAAGGTCTGATAGTTCAGTAAGAGATCAACTGTTTATTTAAAAGGTAGATATACTGAATGTGTGTGTGTGTTTCCATAATGAAAGCCAGATGCGGCAAAAATTTTATCTTTTGTAAATAAAGTCCATAAGCATCAGAATAATAAATATACTGTTGACTGGCATATACACAAAACAACTGTATTAAATTGCATTTTAACATTTTAAAGCTTGAAAATTGTAATAAAAGTACGATTTAATTTCCTACTTCGGACAGTGAGCAGCAGTCAGGACCCATGTTGGATCAATTAATATTCCTCCACACATTGCTCCATCACCCTCCAGCAGAGCCATAAAAGGCAGCGAGTGTGGCTTGACTTCTTTCCCGCCAATGATCTCAGAACCATGACCTAAAACAAAATACAAATGTCCAGTCACTGGATGTTGAAGTCAAGAACAGATGAGCAAAAGAAAGAAGCACACTGCATCTCAACAAACTGCTTTGTAAGACTGAAAGACCTCAGTAATGTGAGTTTGCATTGTGCATGTTTACATAATGGAGCAAAAGGCAAATTCAACAGAAAACACTGCTCACCAGACTGGATGATGAAGAGAATCACACATGTGATGAAAATACTGAAATCTCTTGGGCAGAACATTTCTTCTTACCTCTCCTTATCAGATGCTGAATGCACTGAAACCTTGATCATAGCTGTAATGCACAACTTATGTTGAGCTGAAAGGATGTGGTCTGGCTGCAAAAGGTTCAAGCTTACATCATTTCAAGAACTCTGGTTGAATTTACCACGAATAATGACCATTTTGTTTATTTACTGTGCGATGGTGGGTTTCTTTACGTGATTCCGAGAACGTTGTCACTGGGTGCAGATATGTCAGTAAGTCACTGACACTTTCACATTTGCTTTCTAAAATGTCATCTTATTAACCAGAGGAAAAAATGATTTGCAGAATAAACAATGAAAAAAGACACACTGTTCACAGACATGTTGAAATCATAAAACCATGAATGGACTCAAACATAGTGAATAATTGCAAACAATGCTCTGGAACTGTGTAAAACAAAAGCTCAGTAAAACATTTGAGGTTGTCTTTTTGTGAAGTTTACATTAAGTCTTTTAAAAAATTCATTATCACAGAAAAAATAATCATATTTGTATTTTAATATTATTTTAAAAAAACAAGACAAGGACAGAATAGGATAGAACATAATGGATGTATTCAACTCTCTTCTGTGGTAAAGCTGGTATTTAAAAAAGAGGGAGAACAGGAGGAGAAAATAAATAAATAATTATTGTCACAGTCGGGGAAGTGGGGAATGAGGACCCAAATGCCGGACTCCTTATGCTGAACAGTGCGTTTATTTATAGTGCAGTTAATAATCCACAGAATAAATCCCCATGCGCTCCCCTGACTCCCGTGTCGTGTCTTCTCCCAAAACATCCGTGTTCTGTGCTCTCCACTCCCGTGTCTCTGCATTCCCCATGCCTGCTGCTATCTGGCGTTCCACGCTCCTCCTGAGACACAATAGAAACAGCCATCAAGACACCACATAACTAGTCTTCAACACTGACTTGAAGACTGACTTGGAGTCTCACGCAATAATCCCACGCCAGAGGGAGCTCCATCATACTCTTAAATTGCTCCCCCTACGAGCCTCAGCAGCAGCAGGTGCATGGCATGGTCTTCAGGTGTGGTCAGCCCCCTACCAGGGCCACACCCACCAGGCCTGCAGGTGCCTGTCACCCAGCCTACAGGAAACAGTGCCAACCGCAGACAAACAAACATCCCAACACACACCTGCCTATTCCTACAACTTAGGACACAGCAAGGCAGCTCAGTGCAGCTAAAACACACAATAATAATAATAATAATGATAATGAGTCCACACTGCTCAAGAACCCTGGATCCCTCAAACCCAGATCCCTGACAATTATAAAGAGTGCATATACACATACAAGCAATTGTAGTAAAGAGCCTTCAATATCAATATCAGTATCTTGTGGATTTTGTGGGGTCCAGAAGAGAGATTTTGGATGCCTCCGTCTGCATTCTGGACCCTTCCATGGTCAGAGAATACCGCCACAGCTACCCAAACAAGCCTGGGAGGCTCACCGAAGGACTCACCTTCACTAGAGTCCTTCGGGTGCTTTAGACCATCGAACTATCAAAAAAGACCACATCTGGTCTAATGAAACAAAGACTGGGCTGAAACTGGGCTGAATGCCAAGCATCAGGGTTGGAAGAAAACAGGTACTGCTCATCACCTGGCCAATACCATTCCTACAGCAAAGCACGGCAGTGTCAGCACCATGCAGTGGGGATATTTTTCTGTAAAAGGAAAAAAAGTGGGAGACTAGTTAGAATCAAGGCAAAGATAAAATCAGCAATATACAAAGACATCCTTGATGATAACCTGCTCCATAGCACTGTACTTTGGACTTTGGGGAGAGTTCATATTCCAACAGGACAACGAACCAAAGCACACAGCCAGGATAACAGAGGATTGGCTTAGGGACCACTCTGTGAATGTCTTTAGTGGCCCAGCCAGAGCCCAGACTTGAGCCTGATTTAATATCTCTGAAGAAAACAGAAAATGGCTGTGGACCAACTCTCCCCATCCAGTCTGATGGAGTCTGACAGGTTCTGCATACAAAAATGTGAGAAACTGCCCAATAACAAGTATGCCAAGCTTGCAGCATCTTACTCAAAATTACTTCAGGATATATTTCCTGCCAAAGGTGCTTCAACAAAGTATCGAGCAACGGCTCTGAATACTTAAATGCATGATATATTTTTGTTTTTTATTTTAATACATTTGCAAGAATTTCAAGCAAAGTTTGTCCCCTTTTTCATGATGGAGTACTGTGTGTAGAATTCTGGGAAAAAATGAATTTGATCCATTTTGGAATACGGCTCTAACATGACAAAGGCTACGTTCACACTGCAGGCGAAAGAGCATCAAATCTGACTTTTTTGGTATGACAGTTTGAACAGCACAAATCCGATATTTTCAAATCCGACCTAGGTCACTTCGGTATGTGGTACTGAATCCGATAAATATCTGATGTTTTAGAACGCGACTGCTGTTTGAATGGTCATATCACATTAAATCGGTCTTTTACGTCACTGACACAAGACAGACGCCAATTATCAGCACTGGAGAAGACAAACAAGAAAGCATGGCGGCCATTGTTAAAGCACGGGCTCTCTTTTTTCTCAGTGTCCTTCTTTCTCTAATTAATTTGTCAAAATTCTGTCGGTTACGACTGTGCAGAAATTGATAGACTGCTGCAACAACACCTACTAGCTCTGTAGCCGCCATTTTTACTTTCGTAAACAGAGCGTGTTGTGTGTGACGTCTTCTTTTGCGCATGCGGGCCGCTTTGAGGGCCGTGAACGTTCACACTAAAGTGCGTTTGCTGTCACATTTTATTTGTAGTGTGAACAACCAGACAAAAAGATCGGATTTGATCAAAAAAATCGGAATTGAGCATTAAGACCTGCAGTGTGAGCGTAGCCAAAATGTGGAACAAGTGAAGCACTGTGAATGCTTTTCGGATACACTATAGCTGGTTACTATTGTTTTGTGGAGCATGATGTGCCAAGTCCTTCTTCTTCTACATGACGTTATCACACACACTGTCCAGCAAATTATCCCTGTGGATGAATTACAATATGGTAAATGGTCTGTATTTGTATAGCGCTTTTCTAGTCCCTAAGGACCCCAAAACGCTTTTACGCACACATTCACACACTGGTGATGGCAAGCTACATTGTAGCCACAGCTGCCCTGGGGCGCACTGACAGAGGCGAGGCTGCCGGACACTGGCGCCACCGGGCCCTCTGAGGCAACCAGTAGGCAACGGGTGAAGTGTCTTGCCCAAGGACACAACCGAGACTGTCCAAGTCGAGGCTCGAACCGGCAACCTTCCGATTACAAGACGAACTCCCAACTCTTGAGCCACGATCGCCCCTCAATACAATAGAGCTCAAATAAAAGGCATGGAATTTCATAGATATGGTTGCCTTTTCCCTTCAACATTACAAGGTCCATCCATCCATCCATCCATCCATCCCAGCTACTTTACAAGGTTACTCAATTTTTTAGTTTTGTTTTAGCTTATCAAGCAGTTTTATATAACCATATAACCACAGCTCTGTAACAGGAGGAGTGGCCCAGGACTGAATTATCTAAAAGTAAAATAAAAAAAGTAACGTGTGGAAAAAGATTGGTCAGTGGTTTCTGAGCACAAGTAATCAGAATGAAAAATGAACAAATAAGAAAGCATGCTCAGTAATTTATCTACATCAAAGCAAAATCAGTTCACAAGCCTCAGTTTCAGTTTCAGTATATAAAACAGGAGCTGGTGAATCTTTCTAACTGGCAGGCTGAATAATTTCACTTTGTTGCTTTACTTTCATGAGTTTTGTATGTAGATTAAAAAAACAAAACAAAAAAAAACATTTGTATGCTTTTATTGCAGAGGTAGCCTTCAAATGCAGCAAACAGGAGTACTCATATTCTTGGGGTTACTTGGGGATTGAAAAACAAAGAAAAGGAAAAGTTTGTGCAATGATAAGGACTAACAATAATAAGGATCTGTCATATATGTGCAGAGATCAAAAATAAAAATGTAAAAGAATGAAATGATAATATTAATAATGCTCAAGTCAGTGGTCTACAGGAACAGCAGTAACAGATTTAACAAGGAAGATTACAAAGATGCTCGTGTTCATTAAATTATGTGGACTGATTCCTGTGGATTCCTTAAAATTCAGATGACTTCGTTGTTTTTTTGATCCACTTGAGTTGTTTTTTGGAGAGAAATGAGAAGACTGCAGGTTCATTTATCTCGCCACACACTACAGGTCCAAAAGAAGTGACTCCAACCAGCTCTTTATTGCACAGCAGTGGCCCTCCTGAATCCCCCTGCAGCAAGAACAAATGTTTGACATTTTTGGGGGGTGTTTTAACTATTCTGGAGATTTAAAAAAGCCAAAAAGGTCTTGCGCTTTATTGCAATTTACAATTTCATATTACAAAGCAACTTACTAATATATACTTACATTACATGTACTAGCCTTAGCGTTTCCATTTGAACCAGCACATATCATGTCACTAGTAATAACAGGGTTGCGGTTGTAATAACCACGAGAGTTGCACTTCTTTCTGTCAATCACAGTCACATTGACAGACAACAAGACATCCGACCTATTCTTCTTTTCAGTTTTTCCCCATCCAGCCACCAGACAGTTGCTGCCAGCTACAGGGTCTTTGAGAGTTTTGCCCAGCTTGAGAAATGTCACTGTTTTGGTTTCCATCACTGGATTGTTAAGCTGAAAAAAAGAAGATTTGCATATTGATAATGATTATCTATGTATTATGTTTATATAAATGGCCTGTATTTATATAGCCCTTTACTAGTCCCTAAGCACCCCAAAGCACTTTACATATCCAGTCATCCACCCATTCATTCACACACTGGTGATGGCAAGCTACATTGTAGCCACAGCCACCCTGGGGCGCACTGACAGAGGTGAGGCTGCCGGACACTGGCGCCACCGGGCCCTCTGACCACCAACAGTAGGCAACGGCTGAAGTGTCTTGCCCAAGGACACAACGACCGAGACTGTCCAAGCCGGGGCTCGAACCGGCAACCTTCCGATTACAAGGCGAACGCCCAACTCTTGAGCCACGATCGCCCCTTTATATAGGTATAAAATAAGTAAATAAGACAGAACATAACAGCAGGGTGCATACATGGAACGCCCTAACTAAGCCGCTGGCTTAATATACAGGAATATTTGTGCTGAGTATGGCCTGGATGTCCCATGGTCAAAATGGAATACACCCTCTAGGGTGGTTAAGAATGACCAAGCTAAGACCCTGTGGGACTAAGTAAAGAAAGAAGGCTGCAGTAATAGATGTAGCTATATCAAGTGATAGCAACATCAGGAAGAAGGAACATGGGAAGCTTAGGAAATACCAAGGGCTGAGAGAGGAACTACAGAAGATGTGGAGGTTGATTCAAAAGTTGTCCATGAGGTAACTGGAGCACTTGGAGCAGCTCACCCCCAAACTAGGTTACACTTCCTACAAGTGTCATTATTACTAAAACTAGTAGTGTGGCACACTAAGCAGGAAAGTGCCAGAGGAACAGGGGATAAAGCATGATGCTAGCAACATGGCTGAGAGCTAAGATAGAAAATCCCTAAAGATAAAATTAATCAATACTTTAAATATAATTAGCTGGTAATTTCAACAGTGAGTGTAGTGTCGTGATACTGGACTGCAGCGAGCCAACACCAAATGAGAGTCAGTTAATAAACAGATTGCTAATTTTTAACAGTCAGTTATTACTCATTGGTCAGTACTAGCTTACAATGTTTTGACTTTAAAAACATGTTTCAACTATGTAAGAAGAGTAAGTAAAGAAAAGAAGAAAAGTAAATGTTAGGTCCTGAGCTGTCTAACATTTCATATTATTCATATTGTTACATATTTCAATTGTCTTTTCACAAATAGAAATGTTTTATGTAACATAAAAAACATGTAACACTAAATCAAATCTCATGTGATTAAAAGCTCTAAAAAAATTGTGCACTTTAATTTACTGCCCCATTTTAAACAAATTCCTCTAAGTGGGTTTTCTTGAAAAAGCGTTTGAATTACAGGGTTGCGTCTTTGCTTCATTTAGTATTGTGAATTGTACAGTGAATATTGACCTTACCTTGAGCAACATGAGGTCATTGCCCTTTAATATATTACAAAAGTCAGGATGAGGAAATTGTTTCTTAACCTCTCGGAATTGTTTCGAATCTTTTTCCTCTTTCTTGATGGAGTGTGCTCCCAGGATCACCTCACTAATACTGTAAAAGAAAAAAATACAGAGTAAAGTTAACATATATAAAAGCTTCATAGGGGAGGACAGTGATAAGATAAATTAACTCTATATTTTGTTATATGCATATTATTAGAGGTGGTTGCGTTATGGGTTTTACTGAAAAATTACTTTCATGGGTGTAGGGTGATGAGGGTTAGAATATGAACAGATTTTGTCTATTGTCATTTTTTGGAATGTTATCAACCTCTATTTTCATTAATGTGCAAAGCAGTCAAACATACTCGTGTCTTACAGGCTTTTTTCCTGAGAGCTGAGGCTTGTCCTTAAAAACGGCAGAAAAATCTGAGGGATTTTTAAAAGCAATGCTGTAGTGGGGCGAGGTGGACGCACCTGAGCGTCATCAGCGATCACGCTGCGCCTGCTTTAAAAGGGTGAACTAGGTCCTTTCTTAGTTGTTGTAGGGGAAGTGAGCAACTGCGAGGTGAAAAACTGAAGCAGGGTGTGAAAAGTGACAGCAACCGAGAGTAATAAAAGCAACACTGAAATGTGGTCGCTTCCGCCATGAGTTTATTCAAATACATTTTTAAGGAGACGCTGATTTGATTGTGCCTACTATTAACATGATAAGTAATTATGTAAATTATTTACACTGAAGATGTGAAGTTTTAGCATATTTGTACTCACAGTATCAGTGAAAGGATTACTGACAGTATTTTATATGTAGACATATGTTATATGTATATATTATTTTATATTATTATGTATATATTATAAAAATGTATTTAAAAAAACACACAATGTGTTATTTTTCACAGTCTGTTAAAAATATTAATATATTTTGATTTGATGTCAGAAGAGTAAGTCTGTACTTAGTGCAGTGGGCAGCAGTCAGGACCCATTGTGGATGGATTAATATCCCCCCACAGAAAGACTTTTTACTTTTCAAGTAAGCCATGAAACTCAGGGAGTGTGGCCTGACTTCCTTCCCTCCAATAATCTCATAACCATGACCTAAAATTAAAAGAAAATATTCACTTAAATAACTAAATCACAAGATAATCAAGTCAAGAACTTAAAAATGAAAGAAGGAACAGATGAGTAAAACACAAGAAATGCCAGCGGCTTTGCAATACTGAAAGTAATGCCCTTGCATTCTGTGTAATGAATGAATGTGCAATAGAAAATATTACTCACTTGACTGGATGATGAAGAAAATCAAACATGAGATTAAAAGACTGAAATTCTTCAGGCAGAACATTTTGTCTTACCCCTCTTTGATTAGATGCCGAATGCCATGAAATTTACTTTGATGCATAGCTTTATACGCTGAGTTTGAAGGATGTGGTTTGATCATGGAAAATAATGAGTCAGCAAAACTTACACATGCTAGCTGATGAACTGGTGATATTGTTTCAAAGCAAGTGGTCAGATTTATCATAAATAATAACAATTTTCTGTAGTTTCTATATGAGAGAGGGGATTAAATTGAAGTTTTAAGGATTGTAGTTTTAAGGTTTTTATTAAAAATCAAGAATGGATTAACTGAATTCAATTTACTTTTATTCATATAGCTCCAAGTTAAAAAGGCACTTATATTGGTGCCAAAGTATAATTCTGTTTAATGCAGTAACCTGAATTGTCAATCAAAGCGACCAACCACATTAGGACCCCCATTTTGTTTATGCTCTGCCCCCCAAACAGTCAATAGTCAGTTGATTTCAGTTTCAAGAGCATGAAGGAGAGAGGAAATCTTCTGCAGCGCTTCCAAAGCACACACTCTGGTGTGCGCAATGGCTTCTTTGTGGCCTTGGCTGCTGAACTCTTCACATATGGATTTTTGAATTTCTGCACAAGGAATTGTGTAACGTATCAATGAATACTAGTGTTTGTAAAAACTAAATAATTTGCTTGTTATTTTGATTTTTTTCATACAGAACTTTTAACATAAATATAATTCCAAATCTTTGCCTCCAGAAAAAGTGAGCACCGACAAACACTTGCTCCTGAGTCTTCACTCCAGTCACTTGACTGCTTTGGATGTCACTCACCTGCTCTCTGCTGTTCCACAGACTTTGCCTGCCTGCCTACAGTAACCTCTCCTTGTGCTCATTCCAACAGCATAACAAGAAGTCCCACTTTCACTCCATTCAGTACTTGTTGCCTTCTTATAACATTTACTCTTCAATGGAGTCTTACATGGTGAGCGTGTACATAGGTCATGGCGGTTGAGTGCATTGCTTATTGTTTTTCTTTCAAACAATTCTAACTACAGATTCCAGGTCTTTCTGTAGCTGTCCACAATTGGTTCTTGGCTCTTGGCTCAGTCCTATGTCTGAACTCTTGTGGGGAGCATCTGGTCGTGGTTGATGTGAAATTATGTTGTTTCATTTCCACTTCCAGATTATGGCCCCAGCAGCGCTCACTGAAACCTTCCGTAGTTCAGACGTTCTACTGTAACCAGTGTCATCAGTATGTTTTGCAACAATAAGTTTGCAAAGGCCACTGATTTTATCCATCATGACATGTTTCTTCTGTGACACCTTGCTAATGAGCCTCCTTTTTTACAGGCCATCAGTTGGGACTTACCCAGCTGAATTTGCCCTTTCTTTGCATGCTCAATACTTTTTTTACCCTGTAATAATAAAATAATGGATTGCATTTATATAGCGTTTTTCGGGGGCCTCAAATCGCTTTACAATGCCACTATTTATTCACTCTCACATTCACACACTGGTGGAGGCAAGCTACAGTTGTAGCCACAGCTTCCCTGGGGCAGACTGACATTCTGTGTCCTGTGTCCATTCTCATTATTACATACAACATATGGACTTCTATGGTTTGATTTATTTGCATGTGTGGACTGGATGGATTTTTACTGATATCTGGTGAGAATTTCATATTCATATGCGCCCTTTTTTTAGGAAATTGGGGAGATATTCAGTACTTATTTTACTCACTGTATATTCGTACATTTGACAGTTGAAATGAGCACTAAATCTGTTCACAATGCACAGGTTTATTAAAATTTACTGTTGAAATGCTACATCTCTTCAATCCATGCACATTCTACACTCATTAATCTGTTTATATTAACCCTATAAAGCCCTTTGTATCATATTTGATACCTGAGTTTCTGAGACTTCTATCTCATCAACATGATCAATACTTGTCATAATTTCAAAATGTTATGGACAAAACTCTTTTTTTTTGTCTAACATTAACATTGTTGTTAACAAAAAGTTGAAAAAAAAAAGCCCAATGTATCAAATGCGACACACAAAAAAATATTATAAATATATAATAAATATATGTCATGAACAACATGATATAGCAAAAAAAAGTGTATTTTGTTATAAGGGTTAATAAACATCTAAGTTCCCCCCAAAAATGGGTTGGGGTTGAATGGGATGAGTCTTACAGGGTTAATGGTCAACGCAAAACTTTCATCTTCCTGGTGAAACTGAACAAATGCTGATTTTGGATCGTGTTATCAGAATTACTCAAGTAATACAACGAATTATAGTAAAGAGAGGTACTTGGTGAGGGTCACAAATTTAACAAATATTTGTGTCTATCATAAACTCAACGGGTGCAGTGACACAAAATGAACCCTCTATGGTGGATCCAGTGGTCAAGGTTTTTCAGGCAGCAGTGTTTTAATTGTTTACTAAAGTTTAATTTTATATGTTAATATATACCAAGACTGACAATCATATTTGACACATCACTTGCAAATTTGGCAACAATATGACAAATATGGCCGGTCACCGGTCATATACATGCTGGATTTATGCACAGTTCGTTTATTCTTGTTTTCTAAACAGGCAAGTGCACATAGACTATTTGAATTTGTGTTTGATGGTCTAGAAAAAAAAATTAACTCCAGTTACACTTGCTCGCCTAGATGGCTAAATGGTGAAGAGGACGAGACTGTAATTCTATTGACACTTTCCAAGATGACAGTGAATAAAGTGCGGGACCATGTGGTGACATATCACCATTCATATAAATGCGTGCAAATGTCACTTTTTTGAAGCTGAGGTGCGGTCACAGCACAAACCGTCATGGTGGGTGATCCTGACCACTATCATTGGACCCCCATTTATTGGACAGGCACTCGAGGATAGAAAGAGGAAATCTTTCATATCACATGACATACCTTTGTCTTCAAAACATGCACATCTAGCAAAGAATCATGCACTTCTCATTTTCAGCAGCTTTATTTGAGTTCATTTCAATCCCATTTCTTTCTTTTACTATTTTTTAAAAACGTTTAGACCACTAGTTTTTGGCAGATATTCAAAAAATGCTGAATTTTATAGCAAAAATACAGCTTTCCAGTCATATTGATTCAACTTAATTTCACCCGATATTTTCCCGTTGTGCCCCATCAGTGGGGCCTGCTCCACTGTTTGAGAACACTCATGTCCAGTAAGACTCTTAGAGAAATCTTATCTGCTTTAATAAAATCCTTTAAACCTCAAAATATAGACACATATAAATGCAGACCATTGATGACAAAAATTTGTATTTAAATTTATGCAACAAAAACAAACGTTTAACAGATAGTAAAGGTTTAAGAAGGAAAAAGACTCAGAGAGAGATCTAATTTTGAGTCATAATTTTTTTGATCCACTGGAGTTGTTTATCTGAGAGAAAAGCATACACTCCAGGGTGTGTTTTGTCACCACACTCCTTAGGTCCAAAGGAAGTGATTCCTGTCAACACACCACTGCACAACAGCGGTCCTCCTGAATCTCCCTGTAGAGAAAATTATAATATGATGGTCACTGAGTTTTTCTTCATTCACTGTTTGTTTATACATCACTCTGCATTTAATTATAAAATATTAATAATCTCTGCCCATAAGAATCTCGTCAACAGCATGTCTTTTTCCTGTCCTCCTCCCTCTACCTCCCATTGGTCGAGGCAAATGGCTGCCCCTCCTGAACCTGGCTGTGCTGGAGGTTTCTTCCTGTTAAAAGGCAGCTTTTCCTTCCCACTGTCTCCAAAGTACTTGTTCAAAGGGGGTCTTCTGATTGTTGGTGTTTTCTCTGTATTATTGTACAGTCTTTACCTTACAATGCTTTAAGACAACTGTTGTTGTGATATAAATAGAATGAAATAGACTTGAATTTATTTAGTAGTTTATTTTTTCTGATCATTAACAGTTAAAGTGGTAAAAATGACTATCAAGCATACATACCCGACAGGTATCTGCTGTCTCTGATCCAGCACATATCATGCTGCTGGTGATAACAGGGTCGAGGTTGTAATAGGCACGTGAGTTGCACTTCACTCTGTTAATCACTGTCACATTGACAGACCTCAGGACATCTGACATTTGCTCGGCGTTGCTTTTAGTTGCTCCCCATCCAGCCACCACACAGATGCTTTCAGCTGCAGGATCTTTGACAGCGTTGCCCAACTTGAGCCAATTAACCGTCTCGGTTTTCTTCACTTTTTTGTTAAGCTAAAATTTAAGATATAATTACTTAAGCATAATGAATTCATCATTGCCTTAATAGAATTTTTACAATAAATAAATAAGATAAAATAAAAACAATTTAAAAAAAACCACATTTATTTTAAATGAAACTACTTAAGCCGACTCAACATGAAGTCAGTCTTTAATCACAATGAAAATTGAGAGACTAAAGTCGTAATTCTATTTTGAACAAAAAATTCAAAATACCAGAAGTTTTCAGGATTGTGCAGCTTACACTTACTGTTATATCCTATACAAAATCCACTCTTCCAAGAGGGCATGACAAATGTGGCAATGTGTCTTGACACAACAACTGTAATCTCCACCTTCCCACTCTTTTCTTGAAAAACAGTTTCAAGATTTAAAGATTATCTTGAAGTTTCCACTTTATTCTCAAAATGATTAGTAATACTTTTGTTCTTAATGCGGCCCTGATGCTCTGTCGTACAAACATTAAATGAAAAAAGAAAAATTATCTAAATTTTGCAGAAAAGCATCTTTCTCTTTCTGGTCTCAGGTGGAATTTGAGCTGTTGAATTTTGAACAGATGGGAAGATGAGAAAGACCTTATTTTACATCTGAAGTTAAATAATCATAAGTGACAGCCTGGCTTTGCAGTTGTGTTTATCTTGAATAAACATTTGCTTTTCATGCTTAACATGTATTATGTAATGTCAGCAAACATAACTTTTGTAGAAATCGCTAAGGATCGTTTTTCCATTCTGTTATAGTCACCTTACCTTGAGTAACATGAGGTCATTGACCCTGTCTTTTGCATCAAAACAGGGATGAGGAAAACTTTTTTTCACCTTTTGGATCTGCTTTTTTTTATCTCTCCTGATGGAGTGCACTCCCAGCAACACGTTCTTAATTCTAAAAGAGCCAAAACAATGCAGTGTTAAATTAAAGTTCAATTATGGCATAGGTTTACTGGCCAAGAAAGTGTCAAATAGAGAAGAAATGAAGATTTGCTTTCTCTCTGATTACTGAGTGGTTACATGATAAAAAAAAATTACTAAGGTCACGATGTGGCATGTAGCTGATTGGAATATCATGAAGCTTAAACATGTTGACTTGTATGATATTTTACATACCCATGATGACATGGATTTTTTTGTGATCCAGTAAAAACATAAACAAATGCTTCAGATTCCTACTTATCACAGTGAGCAGCAGTCAGGACCCATGCTTCATCAATTAGTATCCCTCCACAATTGCCCTTGTTACCCTCAAGCAGAGCCATGAAAGGCAGTGAGTGTGGCTTGACTTCATTGCCTCCAATAATCTCAGAACCATCACCTAAAATGACAAATATTCAAAGAGATCACTAAGACAAATGAGTCGACAAGCGCTTAAACCAAAGACAGAAAACTCTCTGCACAACTTACTTTGCAAGCCTATAAGACATCTATGTGACACAGATCACAGAATCTATACACAAAATACCTGAAGCACATCCAAATACAAATTCTAACATTTATGAAACCTTTAAAATCCATGTAGGAGTGATCAGGAAAAGTGAAATTACACTCCAACTAAGAAACCATAACAAATTTGCTGAAAAACATTTCTATGACTTAGACATATGTACATTAATTAACCACTAAATAAATCAAAAGCAGAAGAAATGACTCACTTGACTGAACAATGAGAAGAACGACACATGAGATCAAGACACTGAAAAATCCGAGGCAGTACATTTCTTCTTATTTGGCTTTGACTAAAACACACTCTGGTGCGCACTCGTCTTTATGTATTAAGCCCAAAGGAAGTGGTCTGAAAATTCAGCATAATGGGCTCAAGCAAGGCGTGGGAATGCATTTGTTTCAAAGATAGTGGTAGCATTTACAAGTATTCATAACCATGTCTTTTTTCTATGTCGTTGCTGAGGTTTGTTCTGTCTGGTGTACAATGAGTCATCCTTGAGTGTACGTGTCCATAAATCTACTTGTATGAAAAAAGCTAGAAGAGTGTATTGATGTTAAAAGAAAAAGCACTTTACAATAACTTTACAGTTGGTGTAGAGATTATTTCCTTATCAGACATGTAGCTTTGAAGCAGCTTCACCTGTCAACTAGTGCCAGTAAGAGACAATGAGGCATGTCTGTCAGCAGACAGTCCTCAGATACATCCTGAAGGAAACATCTCAAAGGTAGTGCCCAAAAGAAGAAGGAACTGATTATTTTCAAATTATTAATAATTAATTACTTAATTGAATGTATAGTCATAAAGTGGATGTTTTCTATGTTGACATTACTGTAATTAATACTACTCAGAATGAGAAGTCAACAACCAAGACAGTATGTGCAAGAAAAAGTTGTTCACAACCTTCTCTTTTTTAAGGCTTGTAATACGGGAAGTGGTGAATCTTTCTGGCTGACAGGTTGAATAATCTCACTTTGTTGTTTTACTTTCATGGGGTTTGTGTGTCCACAAAAAATGTGTTTTATCTCATGTGTTTCCAGCAAATGTGATTGACTGAAGCAAACAGGAGCACTTATAATTCTCTTGGTATTTTATGTAATTTGCAAAAAGAGAAAATATCATTTTTTTAAATTAACAAATGTCTTTGTTCACAAAAAAGAAAAAATGAGGGGAAAAGGAGTAAATATGTCATTTTCCACTGCAGGAACTAGGTGATTGTTTGTTTGTTTTTTCCAAAGGAGTAATTCTCTGTTGGCCAAGAGAAAGAATATTGGTCTGGCTTTTCATGTCTCAAAGCTAACATGTCAATCTATATGTGCAATCTGCAGTGACAGCATCTAAAATATTAAATTGTAATCCATCACCTATCACAGTGGCTGTGTCCATTTTTGGTAAACAGAACGGCCACAAAGGCAAATATTTGACTCATCTGACTTCAGTTCCTGCAGTGGAAATGGCTAGCCACAGCAGAACTACAATCACATGTGTGTATAAGAAGGAACGCGAGAAGCTTGAGAAGTATCAAGGGCTCAGAGGAGAGCTGCAGAAGATGTGGAGGGAGAGGGTAACAGTGGTCCCAGTATTAATCAGAGCACTAGGTGCGGTGACTCTTAAGCTAGGCAAGTGGCTACAGCAGATCCCAGGAACAACATCGGAGATCTCTGTCCAGAAGAGCGCAGTCCTAGGAACAGCTTTGATACAGCGTAGGACCCTCAAGCTCCCAGGCCTCTGATAGAGGACCCGACAGAGACCGCAATGACAACAAGACGTCAAAGATTTCCATCTTGTTTATCGTGTTGATGCCTCTGGAGTCATGAAATTTCAGTTTGCTTAATTTATTCATGATTCAGTTGAGTTGTTTTTCTGACAAAAAAGAGTAGACACTAACTGAAGTTGTTGTTCTGTGTCTTCTTAAATTAATATATATATTTAACCGCTGACAGACAAGAAGTATGGTTATAATAAAAAAAGTTAACATATATTTACTGTTACCTTTTTCAATTCGTGATTGTGGAATATTCATCATTTTCAGCGTCATTTCAACTTTTGATTTTGTGGGGTTTTGTTTTTTTTTACTGTGTATTAAGTTGTAGTAGCTCAAAATAGCTGCAAAGTTAGGTCAGGTCACTAAACAAATTATAATGCATCATGGATAATCCTAACCACCATCATTCAATTCAATTCAATTTATTTATATAGCACTCTTCACACATACACATAGTGCTTCACAGTAATATAAAAACAGAAATACATTTAACCATAAAGTACATAAACAGGACATAACTTTGTCTTTGCAAGACATTTATCTAGACACTCTTATCTCAATATGGCATCTGATTCTTGGTGTGCTTGCTTTTTCTACATTTAGTAACCCAGACCATTGGTTACTAATGCAAAACAAAAGTACATTACAGAAAAGTACACTTCTATCAGTCAACTGAATTTCACACCATATTTCTACAGGTTGACAACCACTGATTTACAACAAACGTTCAGTAACACTCTGCTTTAACATCATCCCTAAAATCATAAATATAGACAGATATAAATGTAGACTCGTGGTGGCAAAATAACACAACTGAACTTAGTATCCCTCTTTAATTTAAAGATGGAAGCAGGAATGATTCAGAGAACTCATTCTATTTTAGATCCCTTCATTGTATTTTTGATCCACTTGAGTTGTTTTTCTGACAGAAAAGAGTAAACTCCGGGTTTTTTAATGAGACCGCACATCCGTCCAAAGGAAGTGATTCCAGCTAGCACACCATTGCACATGAGAGGTCCTCCTGAATCCCCCTGCAAAGAGAGCAATAATATTAGGTTCATTTTTTCATTTATTTTTCGACTCGTTTACGGTTCAAGTAGCGAAGTGGACGGTGAGGCGTACATACCTGACAGGTATCAGCTGTGTTTCTACCATTCGAACCAGCACATATCATGCTGCTGGTGATAACAGGATTGAGGCTGTAATAATCAGCTGAGTTGCACTTCACTCTGTCAATCACTGTAACATTGACAGACCTCAGGACATCTGACATTCGATTGACATTGTTTTTAGTAGTTCCCCATCCAGCCACCACACAGACGCTGCCAGCTTTCGGCTCCTTACTGGTTTTGGGCAGCGTGAGCCAGTTTACAGCTTTGGTTTTTTTCACTTTCTTGTCCAGCTGAAATTTAAATAATACTTATTTAACCATAATGGGTTCATCATTGCTTTTAGTAAAAACAAACAACAAAACACACACATTTATCATATTTGAGAGAGTGCATGTATATATTTGACCTTATATGTATAATTTTGACTTTGAGAAAATTCAACAAAAACAAATTTTCTATAAATTCCTCTAAATATAATTATCAGCAATCTTGGATCACTTTTCCATTCTTTTGTAGTCACATTACCTTGAGTAACATGAGGTCATTGACCTTGTCCGTGCCATCATAGCAGGGATGAGGCAAACTTTTTTTCACCTTTCGGACCTGTCGGAAATCTTTTTCATCTGCTTTGATGGAGTGCACCCCCAGCAACACCTTCTTAATGCTGTAAGAGCAAAAACGGTGCAGTGTTAAATTACAGTTCAGTTATGGAATAGGTTTATTGACTAAGAAAGTGACAAATATGGTAACAGTGATGCAGAGCAGCACTTGTTCCTTGTAAAGAAGTGTTCAAACCCCTGAGCTCTTGTGGTTTCTTTAGTCACTATCTGCCAGATTATAGCTGCTATAATGAATGCTGAGTGGAGCATCATAAAGAGGAAATGTTACTGACTAGCATGACATTTTGAACAATCATAGTGCAACATCTTTGCAAGAGCCAACAAAAATTAAGATTGCAATTTTCAAATGTTAATGGGAAAGATTCCTACCTAGGACAGTGTGCAGCAGTCAGGACCCATGCTTGATCAATTAGTACCCCTCCACATATCGGTTTGTCACTCTCCAGCAGAGCCATGTAAGGCAGCGAGTGTGGCTGCACTTCATTACCTCCAATGATCTCAGAACCACGACCTAAAGTGACAAATATTCAAAGAGGTCATTGAGATGAACAGATAAATTCTCTTCACACCTTCCTTTGTAAAACTAAAAGACATTTAGATCACACAATCTACATGCACAACACTAAACAAAGCATAAGAAACAAGCAGAAACATTACCATGACATATTTACATCAATTAATTCATTAGTATTAAATAAACAAATGCACAACAGATGAAATAACTCACTTGACTGAACAATGAGAAGGACAACACATGAGAGGAAAACACTGAAACCCCTGAGGCAGAGCATTTCTTCTTGTTTCGCTTTGATCTAAATAGACTGAAACACACTATGGTGCACAAAGTCGCCTTTATGTGAGCTCAGAGGAAGTGGTCTGACAAATGGAAATTCATGTGTCATGAAAAGCGGTCGCAAGCATGAGGTGAGGATGCATTCATTTCAAAGCCAGTGATCCGATTTACAAGTAAATCTCGTGATCTGTGTGGCACAGTGCAAGTCATCAGTGGGTGCAGGTGTCAATACATGGACTAGTGTGAAACAGTTGGAGGAAGACATTATTCATGTTGAAAGAACAAGTCCTTTACAAGAACTACACTACCAGTCAAAAGTTTGGACACACCGTCTCATTTAATGATTTTTCTTTCTTTTCATAGCTATTTACATTGTAGACTCATATGGCATTATGTAGTAAACAAATAACTCAAAACATATTTATATTTTAGATTCTTCAAAATAGCTACTCTTTTATTTGATTACTGCTTTGTACACTCTTGGCATTCTCTCGATGAGCTTCAATGAGTCAGCTGAAATGGTTTTCCAACAGTTTTGTAGGAGTTCCCAGAGATGCCGAATATTTGTTGGCCCTTTTGCCTTCACTCTGTGGTTCATCAGATCCCAAACCATCTCGATTGGGTTTAGGTCAGGTAACTGTGGAGGCCAAGTCATCTGGTGCAGATCTCCATCACTCTCCTTCTTGGTCAAACACCCCTTAGACAGCCCGGAGGTGTGTTTGGGGTCATTGCCTGTTGAAAAATAAATGACGGTCGAACTGAAGGCAAACCAGATGGGATGTCGTGTCGCTGCAGGATGCTGTGGTAGCCATGCTGGTTCAGTGTGCCTTCAATTTTTAATAAATCCCCAACAGTGTCACCATCAAAGCACCCCATCACACCTCCTCCTCCATGCTTCATGGTGGGAATCATGCATGTTTCTGCGTCGTACAAAAACACGGTGGCTGGAACCACAGATTTCAAATTTAGACTAATCAGACCAAAGCACAGATTTTCTCCACTCTAACGTCCAATCCTCATGTTTCTTGTCCCAAACAAATCTATTCTGCTTGTTGCTTTTCCTTAGTAGCGGCTTCCTAGTATCTATTTGAGCAAATCCACAAAGGAACCCTGACAAAGCCCATCTGTCATGGTCCGTGTGAGCAGCTGGGTGTGGCTGGTGTGGATCCCGGCTTCCTGTAACACTAGCGTTCCCCTCCTCGACTCAGAGATGGTCTTTCCCTTTTTCCTTTACAGAGGTTACATCTTTCACCATCTTACAATGCTGTGATTGCAGCCATTTACCAACTCTCTGTGAATGGTACTCATGGTCTTTGATCAGTGGGCTTTGGTCAGTGGTTGTTGATCAATGGTCATGAGAATTAGAATTATTAAGATTAAGGAACTGACCTCCCAGCCTATTGTTTATAAGGGTGGGGAAACCTGCAGTCAGCTGAGACTGAAGAAGTCACTTGGATGAGTGATGAAACGTTTCTCCCACAAAACGCTACATCCAGATGAACAGAATCAACTTTTGGAGATTTACTTACCTGGATTATTGAGCATGCATCAAGATATTTAGTTACATATATGTGCTTCATAATTCCATATATTTTTATTCATATATTTGATGGCTTCAGTGAGAATCTGCAATGCAAATTGTCTTGAAAATAAAGAAAACCATCAAATAAGAAGGTGCGTCCAAACCTTTGACTGGTAGTGGTCACTATGGTCACTTTTTTTTCTCTGTAAAGGTTCTTTTCTGTTTTTCTTATCAGACATGTGACTTTGGAGCAGCTTCATCTGGCAGCTAGTGCCACTGAGAGTCAGTGAAGCATGTATGTTAGCTGGGACTCCACAGATATACCCCGAAGGAATCTTCTCTAAAAATAAGTATGGAGCTTAGTATTTAGTCTGTAGGCTTTTCAGTTATTTGGAGTCTGAAGTTAGAGTGAACAAGGTTGGAAACATCGTCCTCTAGCCAGGTATCCTTTGTGATGTGGCAAAATACCATTCATGTTTAGAGTACCCAAATGGTTAGTGTGGGATAGCAACTAGCTATACAAGTAATTTATAGCATTGACTAGCTAGCGTAGTCAATGCTATAAAGAGAGCACCTTCTTTCTGTATTTGCATCTGTTGCTCCAGCCCCAGACACATCTGACCAATAAGCAGACTAAATGTTCTCATGTGGTTTGTAGTGACATGTTTTGGTTCACTTTGAGTTTTTTTTCTGTGTGAATTGAGACAAAACCACAGGAAAACCTACCCGCCACC